ACTCCAAAACGCGAGTGTGTATTATCGCTGCAGCGCTTGATGCCTGCCTTGCACAACACATTATGAGAGAAGAGATAGAAGACGCACGGCACCGCTGAACACTCACGCTGTTGTGAAATTGCGTCTGGAAGATAGTTGTTAAAAGAATGATTTAATTTTATTATCTGTGTGGATTACGATTGCGGGAATTTCCCGCATTATAAATGGGAGACCTGCGGGAATGATTAGAATTATGCGCAATACCCACAATCCCGCACCGAAATTCGAGCCCTGCTTAATAGGCATTTTTATCTGTGCCACATGTAGTTAAATACATTTGTGGCTAAATACTGCTGTTTATCATGGTTCTAATTAAGGGATAATCATGGTATAAGCGGTATAATCCACAGCTAGCTGTGCATTAAACGATTTGAACTCCGCTTCATGTCGGGTGGTTCTTTGCTTCCATGTCGTGCATTAACATCATTTAAAGGGTTAGTTCACCCAAAAATGAAAATTATGTCATTAATGACTCACCCTCATGTCGTTCCAAGCCCGTAAGACCTCCGTTCATCTTCAGAACACAGTTTAAGATATTTTAGATTTAGTCCGAGAGATTTCTGTCCCTCCATTGAAAATGTATACACGGTATACTGTCCTTGTCCAGAAAGGAAATAAAGACATCATCAAAGTAGTCCATGTGACTTCAATTCAATTCAAAATTATTTGTATAGCGCTTTTCACAATACATATTGTTTCAAAGCAGCTTTACAGAAAGTGCATTTCAGAAATGTACATAGAAAAATACAGTTAGTTAATCATGTATTAATTTAGGGCATAACATATTGCCGGCGTTGAGTCGTCTCTTCACAGGCGTCGAGTCGTCTCATCGCAGGTGTTGGGGCATCTGAAGTCTCCGTGAGAGGCTGGATACAAACTGGAGCTGACGAACGCTATTTACCTCGGGACTAGCGTCCCGAGATAACAGCAGAAAAGCAGATGGGAAATAATTAGCATAGCTGCTGTTCATAATATTAATGCATTCGATCTGATTCAACAGTAGTATAAAAGGTAAGCATTATGTAAATGCTTGGCTAAAGAGATGCGTCTTTAATCTAGTTTTAAACTGGGACAGCGAGTCTGAGCCTCGAACAATATCAGGAAGGCTATTCCAGAGTTTAGGAGCTAAATGTGAGAACGCCCTCCCTCCTTTAGTGGACTTCGATATCCTAGGCATGACCAGAAGCCTCGAATTTAGTGATCTTAAAGAACGCGATAGATTGTAGGGTGATAGAAGGTCCATTAAATACACAGGAGATCAGTGGGTTAGTTAGAATTTTTTGAAGCATCGAAAATACATTTTGGTCCAAAAATAACAAAAACTACGACTTTATTCAGCATTGTATTGTCTTCCGGTTCTGTTGTCAATCCGCCTTCATGAGTCCGCAGTGACGCTGATGACGTAAGACGCTGCTGACGTGTATCTGGTGCGTCCGTGTATTCGGGTTCAAATAAATATGGCTGAGCAAAAAAAAAAGTCTACCTCTGTGTCAAAATCCTTAGACATGTTTGCGAAGATTGTTTTGTTTACAGCGTGCGTCTCCCTCAGACTGTAAACGAAGCTAGGGCGCACCAGAACGTCAGCAGTGTCTTACGTCAGCAGCGTCAATGAACGCGGCTCAACAACAGAACCGGAAGACAATACAATGCTGAATAAAGTCGTAGTTTTTGTTATTTTTGGACCAAAATGTATTTTCGATGCCTCAAAAAATTCTAACTAACCCACTGATGTCACATAACCCTTAATGTGTACCCTGTACCCTTAATTTATACATTAAATAAGCTACCATTGTTCACAGTTTATGAAATGAACACCCGCCATCCCGCGGTAATTTGTGTGTTGCGCAGTGGCGTGCGAAATCGTCTTGGAAACGAATGCCTTTGTTCTGCCTTAGACACAGTTAACCAGTTTAAACATGCTTGCAGAAATATACAATTGATTACATTTTGGAGAACAGACGGAAGAAGATCTGTCGATGTGCATTTGATCGTTGTTTGTATTCAGTTGCGGTCATGAGCGCGAGCACATGTGAAGAGTTTTAACTTTCTTCTGTCATTGTTCCCTGCCTTTGAATGCAAAACTCTGCAGATTCACTTTATATCAACATTGTCATTGTTTAATAATCCAAATATAGTTGTATAAGTTACTATTATACAAACCAAAGGACAGGCAATGATTTTCGGGCTACAGATGGCATAATAGTAATTTAAAAATATCTAAATAATATCATTATTATTATGTATGCATGTATGTATGTATGTGTATATATATATATATATATATATATATATATATATATATATATATATATATACCAATACCAGAGTTTCTGCTAGAAAAAAATGGTGCCGGTCAAAGTGACCGGCAGAGTTTCCGTTTTACGGACATTTTGATGATATGCCGGTCAAATATCGCCCCTTAATTAGTCAAGTTGAGGAAAACTGGAGGCAGGCTATGTAACTTAAAAAATGCAACATGTTTATTAGCCCAACTTTCAAATAGACAGAAAAAAACATGAACGTCCGATTGGTGTCAATCAACGGCAATTGTTTTTACTATGGTTTCACATTCATAGTTTAACAAACCAATTCCCCTTCCCCACATAAAATATCTGAATAGTAGCCTATTGTTTTTACTCAAGCGAACTTAATTATACACTCTCAGTATGTCTCATTAGCTGGTAACATTTAAATTGGTCACCGTGAAATGACTCCTTGTCAAATGAACTGGAACAAACAAATGACTAGGCCTAAAACATTGTCTCGCGTCATTTTAGGCTACTTTATACGCTGTTTTGCAGTGCTGAATTGTGCAGCTGCCGACTTAAAATCAAAACTTCCCAGTGTCTCTCCACAACTTGCAATGCGCATAAGCCGCGTAAGGGCCTGTTCACATATGGCGTCTTTTGCGCGCTCAAGTTCGTTATTTCAAATGTAGGCGCGCGGTATGCACGCTCATAATGGAAACGAAGCTTTCAAAAACCGGCAATTTTTTCCCGTTAGACTAAGATTTTTCGTTAAATAAAAATGGCAGCCCTACCTCAATCCACACCGAGATGTTTTTATCTCGATGCGGCGCGGACGTGCTTGGAAAAAACTAGCGCGTCACACCACGACCGCGCCGCATCGAGATAAAAACATCTCGGTGTGGATTGAGGTAGGGCTGCCATTTTTATTTAACGAAAAATCTTAGTCTAACGGGAAAAAATTGCCGGTTTTTGAAAGCTTCGTTCAAACGGATTCAGTGTTTTCTTTTTGTCATCTTAATTTGTTAGTTAAAAAATATATATTTAGTGTTGGCCAATTTTATGTTTTTTATTTGTATTTTATTCTGTTTTTCTCTGTTGTCACTGTCAGAAATGCTGCAAGTGTGTGAATTTGATCTGAATCCAGGTTTTGTTGTTGATCTGTTCTGTATGCTGCTGTTTGCACTTTGCACGTTAAAATAAATTATCTAATATTTTTTCTAATTTATCTAAGAATTTCTGAAAAACAGCGACGTTACCACCTCCTTGCTGAGTAATAAAATGGGGCAATTCAATAGCGAAGTTAATTTAAGTCGCTGGACAGCGTTGACAAGTTTCTGTGTACCTCTGTGTGTGCTAATGAAAGCTACGCATTAATATAGAACTGTGATTTAAACATTTGAATTGGCTGGAAGGTGTGCAATAAGCCTGAGTATTCAGACAGGCCATGGTATAATTAAAATATTAGATCAAATGTACAGTTTAACTATTTTCCGCCAAAAATACTTTGAAACTGGTATCCCCCTACCAAAAAAGTTTAAACAAAAAAATGACGACAAAGCTTCTTATACATTTTAAAGATGCCATATTAATGTATCAAGATTTTACTGTAGTAACTATTGCTGCCATGGTATATTTTGTAAGGCTGTAGTTCAGGCAATTTGTGAATTTAATCAATCAGTTTGTCCAGAGTTCTGGTTCAATGATTCACCTGCCACATTTACATTTATTTATTTATTTAGCAGACACCTTTATCCAAAGCGACTTACAAATGAGAACAATAGAAACAGTTAAACTAACAATAGGACAACAATGTGCAAGTGCTATGACCCTTCCCAGTTTAATCTAACGCAGTACAAATAGAAGAGAAAGTGTTAGTATTAATGGATCAAGTGTTGCCAAAAAAAAATGTTGATGTTTCTGCGAGTGGCTTGTATGGATCACATATGGTGTAATAATAATGATTGGCCCTTAATTTTTCTATTTGTAGTTAGTGTCTTATGGAAATAGAACTTGAGACTAAGCAGTCAGTTTAGGACAAGCCTTTTTTCTGATTTGGACTACAAAGAACAGTGAAACAGCCTTCGGTGTGCTTGCTTGGGCTGCACAAGGCGTTCTTTGCTATTAAGTGGCCTGAGAGTCTCATGACCTGATGTCTGTTAATAAGCTTATGCAAACGGATTCTTCCTCACAGATACAAACAGCTTTCTGCTTACTTTGTCAGCTGGTGTGATCGGCAATTAGCTTATCCATACAAGGCAAGCCACTCGCTGAAACATCAGATCAAAGATAATTCAGGTTTTTTGACCCTCTGCAACGTTTTACAAGCAAATAAATGTCCAGGTTTGCAGGCTCAAATGGATCCCACCCTGGTGCTGCCTTTCTTCAAAGACTCCAGTGATTGGGTTGGAAATGTTAGGCACCAAATGAGAATCAGTATAGGGAGCCATGGTATGATTCTAAAACAATTTTAGATGCATTTTTTCAGCAATAGTGTAGGTGAGTAGTATGATTGACTTGTTGCCAGATTGTCTGTAAAGTAGACATAATTAATTATAAAATGTTTTGATTGATTTGTATTTTCTGAAGATTTATTCCGAATTGAATATTTTTATTTTTCCCCTATCCTACAATCACCATCTCTCTGATTACAGCTTCTTGTAAAAGATTAGCTTGATTTCAAAGCCCTCAAGCCTCGTTCTCTTCCCTTAACAGGAGCTGGTGTCTGACACAAACCAGCATGTGAAGTCTGCCCTGGCTTCTGTCATCATGGGTCTCTCTACCATCTTGGGCAAGGACAACACCGTAGAACATCTGTTGCCTCTTTTCCTGGCCCAACTGAAGGACGAGGTAACCAACCTGGAGCTCGGCCCAGTCTCTCATCTGTTTGTCTCTCTTACTCCTGTGGTCAAAGCTCCTTTTGATTTTTCTAGAGCAGAGACAGACAACAGATGTTAATTTTCCAGGTCTGATAGGTCACCTTGTGTTGAGCTTAAGGGATGTTTCCTAAATGATCTTCACTAAAGTCCTTGATTGATGTTCCTTTTATTGGGCTCTCATCCATGAGCACTCTCTGAGACGTATTAGCTTTTAAATTGTAGTAATAAACTCTTAGTCTGTTTTTAAATGAAGTTGAACTTTGGCCTCAGCCTTCATCTAGGCCATGCCAAAACCAAAACCCATCCAAACGCTTTCCTCCTGTGTTTGTGTTCCCTTCTGTTTTATTGGACTCCTCTCGATTGTCAAACACACAATCTGAAAATGTTAAGAGCTGGGTTCTGTGAATTCTGTCCTGAAGTGTATTTCCATTGGCCGCTTCTCCGTCCGGCTCTGTTTGACTAACAAACTTTGTTGTTTGGATTTTAGTCAGTCATCACCAAAGTGCACTTGCTCAAGCAAGTCATCAAATATTTGGCAGCATGTATGCATACGCTGTAACAATATCACATGAGTGTGGCGTCCTCCTGGAGCCTTTTAAGGAAATATAAAAAGAGACCTTTTCCTTTTCAGTAAAATTCATACTTGTGACTTTAATTACAAGAAATAATGACAAGAAATTATGATGACTTTAAAGCCATGAAATGAATGTTGCCTATGTTGACTTTCTTCAAGACATGTTTAATACACCAATCTTATTACTGGTCTTATTGTGCTTGATTCATCTTTCCATGTTATTGTAAAGGGAAATCTTTGACGTTCTGTTACCAGGCTAGCCTTGTTTAATCCTTTTTTGAAAAACAAATGTATTTAAATAGAAATTATTGTATTAATTTAAACCAATTAAATGAATTGATTCATTAAAAAATATATTTAATTTAATTGATTAATTGCTAAATTATTTAAAGATTCATATATTTATTTCATTTGATTTAATCATAAATATATTGTGGTGTACTATTTCCCTGTAGTGCCCTGAGGTGCGTCTGAACATCATTTCTAATCTGGACTGTGTGAATGAGGTGATCGGGATCCGGCAGCTCTCTCAGTCTCTTCTGCCAGCTATAGTGGAGCTGGCTGAGGATGCCAAGTGGAGGGTTCGACTGGCCATCATTGAGTACATGCCATTGCTGGCTGGCCAACTGGTGAGTCTGCGCCACTCTCGCACTTGCTTAGAGATTAATTAGATGGATCTGGACTGAAGACTAGTCTGCTCTCTTCCTTGGACTCAAAAATAAATATTCTGTAATTTACTGACTCTCATGTTTCAAACCTGTTAATGTTCTTTTACTCTGTCCTACTTTGTTGCTAGGGAGTGGAGTTTTTCGACGAGAAGTTGAATTCCCTGTGCATGGCGTGGCTCATTGATCACGGTAGGTCTTCTGGGTCCTCGTTTTCCAGTGTATGATGTAAAAAGATGTATTGAGTTATTGACAACAATGAACCAAAACCGTTAAACTGTAAGTTCAAGCAGATGCATTTGCTTACATTTGAAGACAGCACAGCCAAGACGTGAAACAGTTGTCTCTGCCTCTCTTCTGTCCTGCTCCTTCCGCAAAAGGAGAAAAAGAAACGCGCATGTATCTCTAGACTTTTCTGCTCTGCTCTCTTGGACAATTACAAGAGATTGATAAGACTCTATAACTCTTACCCTTCTCTCTCTTTTAATTATGTGTGTCTGTCTGTCTTTATTAGGGGCCTTTCTTTTTATTATTATTCTGCTTTTGAGTGTATGGCAACCCATAAAACAGCTTGTGGGAAAGTTATACAATTTGGCACATAGGTAGAGGACAGTCTGAACATTAACCACATTTTGGAGTCTTTAACTCAATCTCTAATGCATGCCACCAACTGTCCATAGTTGCGGTCATGTTTATGCTAATAACTTTTGAACCATAAGGGATAGAAACAAAATTATTTTGCCCTGAAGGTACTGTTTCGAGACAGCGCCACCTTACGGTCAAAAATGATAATGAAATTTAAAAAACAATTTATAGCTTTTGATTTAAATGTTCCTATTGTAATGAAATGGGGTCTTAAATGGGTGGTTGACTGATTTCACTTTTCTAAATTTAGTTAGTGTGCAGACTGATCTCATGAAATGGCGTATGTATGACACGCCAATTCGTATTTCCATTTTTGGCGTGCTATCAACACGCATAATCGCTTTTCAGCGTGTTTATCAACGCCTTTGACTTAACGTTATATTACTGTATTATGTATATATAAATATATGACCTACCCCAACCCCGTCCCTAAACCTACCCGTCACTGGGGTTAATACCATTTATGAGTCTTCTCCTACCATCCTAGGAAAAGAAATATCGCTCCACAGATGTAGATATAGATTTTGCTTCGTTTCGCTCGGACATTTAACGGCGTACGCATACACGCGGAATCACTCGGACATTTAATGGCGTAGACATACACGCAAAAGATTTCGGCGTGGACATACACGCGGATAGCTCAAAATGCGTATAGATAACACGCCACTTGAATTGAAAGTGGCGTGTATGTTTACGCAAAGTCATGATGTCATGTTGTAGTGTGTAATGTTGCTGTTTGAGCATAAACAACATCTATAAAGTTACAATGCTCAAAGTTCAAAGCAAAGGAAGATATTTGCTTTTAAAGAAATCAAACGGCTGGTAGGGACTACACGACATTCCTCCCGGGTTAGTGACATCACTAACCCTAAAATGTACATAAACCCCGCCCCCGGGAACATGCAGTCCATGTTGAGAAGAGGAAGAGTTGTTGTAGTACAGCACATTTGTGAGTCTGCTCAAGCCGTCGCATCCGTAACACAATGTCATTTTGTAGGCATCTTACAACAGTTCCCACACGAGCGATTTATAGATTTTCATGACAAAATATGCTAATTGAAGATAGTTAACTCATCAACTAACCATTCAGAAACGTCCTGTTGCATTCTACATGTTGTCACTTCTTGATTCTCTCCATCATTGTCCGACTCCAGTGTAAACATAAAGGCAGAACAGTTTCTGACATTTTAGTGCTTGTCTGCCTGAGGTTATTAGAGCTGCTAACACACACACACACACACACACACACACACACGAGCTCTTGCAGCTCCGCCCTCTGTGCCGGGAGCAGCAGCTCATTTGCATTTAAAGGGACACACATGAAATGACGCGTTTTTACTGAACCTCAAAAAGGGACAATTTTAACATGTTGTAAATTATCTGTGGGGTATTTTGAGCTAAAACTTCACATACACACTCTGGGGACAACAGAGACTTATTTTACATATTGTAAAAAGGGGCATTATTCTACTCCTTTAATAGTTTCCTTGGGTAATGCCGAGAACATAGATACCAATTTCGGTTGAACTTCCTGTCCGCCATTTTGTTTTTCTTTAAAAACCTTCTTTTTCAAACTCTTACCGTTTGTCTGGTTTTCACCAAATTCGAGTCAGGTCATCTTCAGAACATGCTGGCAAAAAGGTAGGGATTTCATGTTGATAGACAAAACCTTTTTCGTATACCGCATCAACGAATTTGACTGCATAATGCCAAACTGCATCTGAGGCTGTATAGATTTGACATTGCCACCAAACTTTGTTTGTAATTGCCACCCAACACAGACCACATCAGATCAATTTGTTTTCAGTGCCACGTATTGGGTCAAAAATAATAAGCAATTATCACATTACAAGTGATTGTATTGATGGGCTTTCAACTATTTTGCTTAAAATCGCCTCAATGTCTTTACTAGTGCTGTCAAAATTAATGCCTTAACGTATGCGATTAAATATTTTTAACGCATTAAACTGAAAAAAATTAATGTAACGCAGCATCTGTTTTTTCCTGGCATCCTTTGGCTGGCGTTACATTATATGATCACGCCATCATTCGTTTAAGGCGAGACACTACAGGTGAATAGGGTAATTTTTTTAACTAGCAGATATCACCATGAATCTTTCCCAGTTGATTACCTACATTAAGATGAGAAGAAAATGTACAGTTTTCTGTAATTTAATGTTGAAATATGCAAATTATGCATTATCTAATTAAAGTATGTGCTAATTTGCATATATTTTAAAAAGTCATTTTGAGAAAACGGGCTTTAAAGATTTAGCATCAGCCAATGAGATTGCGCATTTAGAGTTAAATTCCCCCTTTTACTTTCACGATTGTTTGCTGATAAAAAGGAAATGACCACATTTGGATCTGACAGCATTGTACAGGAGAGAGAGAGCTTTCTAATGGTGTATGTGATGACAGGGTGCAGACAGCGATCGCGGAGCAGCGGGATGATTTAGAACGCCAATTTTTGATGAATTTATGAGAAATCTACAGACACAAACGGACATTGTAGTAAAATAAAGACCTAAATGTGTATTTCAGACTTTTTTTCACCACAAGTCTGAAAGAAGACATGTTATTGAAGACAAATATCCCAAAATTGACCAGTGGAAAAAAAACAACGTTGTTTTTGCCTGCCGTGTCTCGCCTTAAGTGCCATTAAACAATTCAAGCACGATAAGATGCAAAAAAAGAACTCAATAATCTGTACTAGTGCGCTGTCTGTGAAGCGGCTCTCTGTGAACAAATGCTTGAAACGCGCACACAGAATGCTGCTTCAGACAGCACGGCAGTGCCGCATCGAGTTCTCTTTCGCACTTGAATGGACAAAAATGCACATGATTATGCTGAGATGCCCGTTATTGGCTAGTATCCTCGTAAGCATGGTCTTAAATTGGTTAAGAAAGTGTTAAATGAATATAAAGAGTTGTGAGAAAATGGAATGTGCATCAGATCCGGATCATGTGCAGGTCTTAAAGTGACAGCAGCCTAAAAAACCTACTGCTGTCTGTGACTTTAATGTTAATCAAAGAACAAAAGACTGAAAAAATCACTCACTGCTCTTGACTGAATCACTTTTGTAGCTTTAAAAAGGATTAATCTATTTTCAATTTATAATTTATGCAGCGAAGACTGTGCTGTGTTTATTAACTGCACAGATGTACCTATACCTGTTAGACCTAAAAACTTAAAGCACTGTTTACAATGGTACATGGGTCAAAAACAATGAAAACAATAACCTTTTTTTTGTGCATTTTAGCAGGGAAAAAATCTGAACCGGTCTGACTGGGCCAATAAAAAAAAAAAACTCTTAGCGTTGAACCTTGATATATTTAAAAACATTTATTACAATGGGTTTACGTAAAGAAGTTTACTTTAAATGTTTTTAAAAGCCTATGAAATGTTACAAATTATAGCTTTCTGTTATACTGTAATGTTGATTGGCTATAATTAATGGCTATATTATTTATTATTATTTTAGTATTATTATTAGTATTATTATTTTGAAGTAGAAAAGGTAAATTGCACAAAGATCTGAATCCACTTGTTAGTCCAATTAAAGGTGAACTAAGTAACTTTTTTTACGTTAACCAAACAGCTTTGGAGTCATTGTAATGTTTATATTACTGATTTCGTGTTGAATGGTGGTTGTCTCGCACCCCCCTGGTGCCTGTGAGCCGCAAAACCACCCTTGCAACTTTGGGTCGGCGAGCCGCCGGCCTCAGTGTTAGGAAGTATCGTGTGATATCAGGTCTCAGATCTGATAAAATGAGCATCAAACAGAAATAACCCGGCGCCGTATAGGTAGGGCGCGCGCAGCTCTTAAAGGGGCCATACCTTATTTCCACTCGTTACAGCGTCCATCCTACTGAACAGGTACAGGTGTACAGGGGGAGGGGATCCGGCCGTGAGTGCGAGCCATCTCTGCGTGAGTGCTATTCACGACAGTACAAGTGCTCCACAGCGACTCTAGGGGTCGCTGTTTGACAAAAACGGAATTCCTACTTAGTGCTGCTTTAAGTACAGTCTATACATACAGTAATAATAGACTGCAAGTTATTGAGATTCTGTTTTTCATGTATTAATTAAAATTACACATTACATATACACTACCTTACGAAAGTTTGGGGTCAGAAATAATCTTATACAACAAAGGTGCATTGAATTAATCAAATTGACAATAAAGTAAAGAATTCTGAAAAAAGCACTAAATCTGCATATGTGACCCTAAAGATTGGAGTAATGGTTGCTGAAAATTCAGTTTTGCCATCACAATATCTAATATACAGCTTCGTAGCTTCTTTTTTTTTTTAACAGATATGAATTTTAAACTGCCTGCTGATCTTGAGTGGCATGTCGATGGTAATGAATGTTTCAGATTGATGAGCCTCTTAGTAAATCTTCAATTTAATGGTTGTCAGAATGGTTATGATCTTACTCTGAACCATGCGCTGAGTAGATCCAGCTGTTGAGGTGTTTTGCATGGTGATTTTCAGTGAGGAACTTGACCACACACGCACACGCGCGCACACACACAATTAAACTCTGACACAGTTGTAGACAAAGGGCCAGATGGGTTACATCACTGGAATGTTCTTGTATATCCTGTGCTGCTGGGCCAGTGCTGTCGTCTTGCATAAGAGCTCAGAGCCGAAGCGGCGCTATTATAGGTTCTGTCATGTGTAAATATGAACTCATCTTTCTGACAAATACACACAGGCACATATGCAGAAGGTACGCAGTGTCAAATGGATTGTCTCATTTTGTGTGTTTTATAATCCCCTTTTTAAAGGTTGACCTACTTCGTGAAAGTGCTCGTCACATTTTGGCTGACTTGAAGCATTTCCTTTTTTTCTTTCATAAGCTCTGTGGGGACTATGGGTGGGGGATTTGTCATGAATTTTAAACTTTAAATAGGATTGTCTCAGGCAAATTCCCAGCCTTTTGAGAAAGGGGGTTATGTCATCGTCAGACTGATTTGAAAGAGCCGCCCGTCTGATGTTAAGTAGATTTGTGATGCACAATTTCACAGGATGTTTGTAGATATTTACTAAGGTAAAATGGCTTAGATTGTGATCTCTATTGGGGTTATTGTGAAGTCTGGTGGAATGTAATCTGTGGAGGTAATGCTGAGCACCAAAACAACGTTGATTTAACCCCACTTAGGTCCAAATCTCACGCCAGAAATCTGATCAAACAAGCGGGGAAAGCTGAAAATAGCAAAGTAAATATTACAGAAGTAAACATTTCAGAAGTATTTATTTCATGTCAATTCGTCTTTGAGGTGAAAAACAAGGGAAATGATGGACCTCTGTTGGATAAATTGTGTGGTGTACTTTAGCGGATAAAAGCTGGACTGGTAAGGTAAAGATTGTTGTCTTCAACCCTTAAAGGGACAATCCATAAATCACTCTTGTGATTTTAAATGGGGATTTAAGTTGTACATGAAATAAAATTTCACATACTTTACTTAGAATTTCTTAATAAAAGTTCTTGCTTTTATTGTGTGAAATTAATGCTAGCAGGATACTGGTGAATCTTGCTCAGTTTAAAAACAAATCTAGTTTTCACAATCTATTCAATATACATTGTAAAAAGTCCCATTTTATTTATGTATACGTGTGTGTTGTGTATGTATTTATGTTGTTTTATTTATTTGATCAAATTTATTTAATGTATGTATTTTTAATTAAATTTAATACATTAATTCATTTGTTTTTAAAAATATATATTTTTACATGTAATTTTATTTGGGGGGGTTTTTCCTTCTTTTTCTCAATTATTCTGTTTAATGTCACATTTTGGAAGGAAAATGGTTTGTTAATGCTATTTTATATTAAATTTAAGTACCTAGACATAAGAGTTGTGGTGTAGTGATAGTAAGGTTTTGCAATAAGATTTTTGTTCTGTCACTTTAATGAGTGAATTGTAAGTCACTATTTGGATAAATGTCTAATGGATAAGTGACTACTTGCTCACAACACTAAGGAATGTGTGTTTTCAGGTTGTATGGCAGTGGACTAAATCTGGCAGCATGGACTGAAATATTTGTGATTGCAAAGTATCTAAATGGCGTTGGCCCACAGCATTGATTTTAGTATGCGCGTTAACAGAAGTATCTTTGCCGTGTTTTGCAGTGTATGCCATTCGAGAGGCTGCCACCTGTAACCTAATGAAGCTGGTGGAGAAGTTTGGAGCAGAATGGGCCGAGAACACCATTGTGCCCAAAGTCCTTGGCATGGCCATTGATTCCAACTACCTGCACAGGATGACCACTCTTTTCTGCATCAATGTAAGTATGGACGGTGCCTGCTCCAAGTGCTCATCCAGTTGCTAGTCATTTCATCAGTACCTGGTGTGGCAAGATGGGAATAACTGGAAGCCTTTTTTTCCTTTTCTTATTTTGGGTCAGGCTCTGTCTGAAGCATGTGGGCAGGAAATCACTACCAAGCACATGTTGCCTGTAGTCCTCAAGATGTCCACTGACCAAGTGGCCAATGTGCGCTTCAATGTAGCCAAGTCCTTACAGAAGATCGGGCCAGTTCTGGACAGCAGGTTTGTTTAAATAATAGCTGCAGCCTATACCCTATTGTTGTTCATGGTGTAAGCAAACATACAGCAATACTAACATTGATGTATCCCATAGTGCTCTGCAGGCAGAAGTCAAACCAGTCCTGGAGAAACTAGCCACGGACCAAGATATGGATGTGAAGTACTTTGCTCAGGAGGCTTTAAGTGGTACATATCCCTTAATCTCTTTAACCTTAAGCATACATTTACTTAGATCATTTTCATTCTCTTTTTTTTTTCTTCTTCTCTCTCCGTAGTTCTTGCATTGGCTTGACTGACTTCCTCTCCACATCCAGTGAAAAACTGACAACACAAAACCTGTTGCATTCTATTTATTGTTCTTTTTGAATGATTAAGTATTGTCTGTTACTTTGTTTACTCTCAAAGATATTGAATGTTCAAAGGATGGACTTTTGGTTAAGTTTTACTTCTCAAACACTGTTAGAGCAGCTCTCAGTTCTGCATGCTTGTACAGTTTGAGCTTAGATCTTCTCAAACATCACCCGTGAGCCATTCCTGTACATTCGTATCATAATCTGTACATGCCTGCTTCAGCATGCCTTTTGCTTTTCTTAGACCGGAGCTCATCCTGCCAGTAGCAGATGGTGCAAAATGCCTGTTTATTTGCTTTAGTAGAATTGCTAGCGCACAGCACATTGTTTACATGTGTTCCCTCTCCAGAGGGGAAAAAAAATCTCATGTGCTCACACGGTTTAACCGCAGAATCCTCTTTGTGCACAGGGTGAATGGTTAATTACTGGCTCTCTTGAAATTTGCTTTACGCAATGATGTCACACCTTTATCACAAGCTTTTTCCATCTAGGGACCATGTAATTGAATCAGTTGTGCTCTAACACAGGATACACGTCTTAAACGGCATCACTCATTTAATTCACAGTTTTGCCTGCAGGTTTGTGCCCATGTTGGTCCTGAATATCCCCCTTTATTGACTTGTAGACTTGCTCTAACTTTTGTGCCAATGAAATGCCTAGTTCTAGTACAATTTCTAGGTTTGTAAGTTTTCTTTTATTATCTTCTTTTTATTTAAGTGGAGGGTGTTAAAAGTGTGGTCATGTAATCATTAGGCTGGCAAGGAGGAACTTTGTCTCTCGTGGAAGGTTATAGACTTAAATGAACACTATTCATTGCTCCAAACAACTTTCACCTACTGCATTCTGAGGAAACCCTTCGTTCATGGTCAATATCATGAGAACTTGTAGCTCTGTTTTTGTTTAATTAGTTTGGGATATTGGTGTACCTTTAGGACTAAATAAAGTCATTTAAACCACGCATCTTGCTGTTGTCATCTTTTGACGCACTCTCACAGACTAATCGTCGCATGATTCTAACTGGAACTGGGTGTGCGTCACACCTGTTAGATCAAAGAGTAAACTCTAAGAGTTTGTCATCCTATATAATTTTAAAGATTAATGTGGAATCAGGTTTTTGGTCTCCTGATGAACCGTTTTCTACAGTTACCTGGATAGTGATCTTATCGACCGCATTGGATTGCGTGCTTTCGTCACTGAATTTGGCAGGAACTGGTGGTGCCGCACTTCTCCTGAAGTATCAGGTGGCTTATTTAACCCGCATTCTTTTGAAGACTGTGACAAAGACTGGATTTCTGAATAGATCTTAAAATTTGAACCAACTGCATAGTTTAGAAGGGTAACACTATCCTGTATCATTTGAATTTAAACCCTTGCAACTCTGAGGGCATGTAGTTGTAGATCAGGCAGACTTTAGCTCAATGGTTTGCATGGGTATTTAATACAGTCTCATTACCTGAACCTAAATGTGGAGACAGTGGACCATTAGTGAGCTGTCTGAACCTCAAAATAATGCCTTCGGCAATTATGAGAGAAATGACCACATGGAATATCCTAGCATATAGAGCAGAAATAAATGTGATCTGTGGACCTCTGTTTTGAAGAAAGAGGATGTGTTCAATTCACTCATCTCTGTTGTGATAAGTCTCTACTAGTTGGAAAGGGTCATGTGGCCAATTGTTTTCAGATGTTCCTGCTTTTGCTTGAACAGGATTATGCAACGGCAGCTGTGCTGGAGATGGATAATAATCACTTTGTTTAGTTAGGCATATCAAGCTGAATTTCAAAGACTGATGTCATGGTCATCTACTCACAATATACTGTTACGTCTTGTGTTTAAAGTGTCCAAAAATATGACCTCGTTCAAATGCTTCTGATGGGTCTTTGATGAAAGGACAGATCTACCACTTCTCTCCTCTTACATAAGATGTTCCCCAGGGTTCAGTACGTGGCCCACTTTTCTTCACTTGCATTGATATCAACTCTAATTACTATGCTGATGATGAAATTCAGATCTCACCACCGGCTCTGAAACGCTACTTCCTTACAGCATCTATCTAGACATCAAGTACTGGATGGGCTCTAACTTCCTGAAACTCAACTTTAATAAAATGAGGTGATGCTAATTGGACAAAAACAATGCATGATTTTTTTTGTTCATCAGCAGTTGAGTTTAAGTCCTCTGAAACTGTCTGTAATTTAGGTGTCTCGTTAGGGTGATTCATCCCTCCCTCTTTTTGATGTTACATTCTTTGAATCTACATGCCATTGTCTCACTCACCTAACTGCAGCATCAATAATATACTCTAGGCCCTAGGGTTTCTAAATTCTGTCCCTCAAGATCTACAGTCTTGCAGAGTTTAGCCAACCCTGATCAAACATACCTGAACAAGCTTCCTGCATCAATGTACCATTGCTTGTTTAAGGACATGTGCAGTGTATCTCTGGATACACTGCACATGTGTCTATAAATAGAAACATTTGCTAATTTAGTTGTTATAGCAAAATGTACAATATTAAAAGAGGGCTAAGATGGCCCCTGGGATTAACTTTTGTAGAATGTATAAATTACTTGATATCATTATCATTAATATTTATTAATAAAATATTTTTTTAAAGTGTCAAAAAATGTTATTTTGACAATTTAGTTAAATAATTGAATAACCAATGACAGACAAAGCAGTAAAAGATTCCTCTAAAAGGTCCAATTAATTTTTGCATATTAAATTGCCCATATTTAAATTGAAGATATGTCATAATAGCAACACTATGGATGCAAATTTAAAGATTTCATTTTAACCTATAGGTTTCAATGAAAGCAAAGATGTCTGAACTGTACATCTAATTCATGGAAGAATGAAATAATAACCCCATTAATTACAATAAGCATTAAATTGAAAATAATAACACTATAACAAGATGCCACTTGGGGCCTTCTGTGCCAATTCTGAAGGGGTCATCTTACCCCAAGGGTCATATTTGATCGTTTTACTTCAAACTTCAACTTTTACTCCACACATCTACAAACATGAATGTGTCCACAAATCCCTCATTAACAAACAGACACAAAAACTTTGATATTCAAAATAATACAATGTCATAGATCACTATTTTCCAGAGACAAAATTGGATCAGTTAACCTGTTAAACTGTTTCAACTGACTAAATCTCACAAATGTTGATATTCAGATGATTCGAGATTAAAAATAGTGTAGCCATCAAAAGTGATGTGAGATGAGATTTTGTGGCATTTATGGTCAGGAGAAAAAATTAAGTTGGTACTCTGAGTAACAATTCCACCGTAAACCTGGCTGCCATTGCAAGACATCAACAATATGGATGGTGTTTATGCTTTATGGAAGTTGATCAGTAACCCAAACAGAGATTTTATATACCTTAGTTTTACACTTGCTCATTGTTCCAGATAATAATGAAAAGAAACAGATTCAACTGAACAGAACTGCAGTGGGCACTTGTGAAATAGACATTTTCCTAACAGCTGGAACCCCCTTTCACCCACAAAAAGTTGGGTAAGAGAAATATTTAGTGGTTGTTGATTTCGAGAACAGTGGAAAAAAAAACAGCAGTTTCTCCGCTTGTGTAATTTGTGAGCATTCTTCTGTGGTGAGCTGTCTGGAAATCGGGCTTTTGCCTCATCTGTGATCAGAATGAGTGAATGAGAGTGAGAGGGCGAGAGTGTACATGGAAGTGTGAATGAGAGCGAGTGAGCTCGGGGTCATGTGAAAATCACAGCTGAAGAGGAACCTTCCTTTGGGAGCGAGCTCTGAACGCTCTGCTGAACGCATTAATTGAAATGTTCTAATAGATAATTGAAAGTTTGGTGAGCATAGATGCACATAATTAAAGCCATGACCTGTCTCAGACACAAAAACTACTTTCATTTGTTTCATAGTCTGAAATACTCTATCCCCAGCTTCACAGACAAGGATTAAGCCTAGTCTTGGACTAAAATGCATGTTTGAGCTTTAAAAAAATTCTTAAAATATGTCAGTGCCATTGTTTTGTCTCAAGATGCACCTTAGTAATGTTTTTTTCTAAGGCACATTTATAAAAGCTACTTATGTCCTTATTAAACTAAGAGCTAATTCTGGCTTAATCTAAACCTCGTCTGTGAAACCAGGCCTATATGATATTTAATGTAAACACGACGATTTAACATTTTCCAGGGTGTTCACAGTTTTTGATCATTTTCACAAAAATGTCATGGCCCCCAGAATATTTAGTTGTATAAATATCTGAATATGCAATATATCAAAAGAACAGACACACACACACACACACACAAAAACGTTTTTTTTTTCTAGTTTCATTCAACACTTGAATATGTTTCATAAAAAAGCAACATTTTGAGCAAAAAGGTGAGAAACACGCATGCACGGGCGCGATTACCTATTAGGCCTACATTATCCAAATTATATTATTTTATAAAATCTGTATGACATGCCATAATGGCTATAGTGGATGAATTTAAAAATTTTACATTATGGCCCATAACATGTTTTTCCCCCTATACTGGCAGCTTCAAAGATTTGCAATAGCCTGGATATGCATTTTGTAGCCTATTTTATCTCCAATGACACTGCCCAAATTAGTGCTATTATCATCCATTATAGTATTATTGTAATCCATACATTTCACGAAGCACTGTAGAAGATATGCAGAAGTTGCAATAGCCTAATATCCATCACTCTGACGGAGTTAGTTGAGTTTAAAAACAACTCTCTTTTTGTCTGTTTTTATCCGTCATGTAATTTCCCATACGTAGCCTAATGCCATTCCATTTTGTGTCGTTTTTATATCATTCTAATAGCTAAAGATAAACATTTTTATCAATTAAAATTACAATTAAAATTAAACAAAAGACGGATTCACATGACTAATAACGCCTCAGTCAAGTAAAATAAATTGTATTAATATTATTACCTGACATTGTCCCCAACAGTTTGTGAATTTGTTGGACATTGGGATGCTTTAACAGATCGGATACAGAACACTTGAAGACTATATAAGACAGACTATGAGTGGAAAAAATAAAGACAATAGTTATATATATATTTTCAGTCTATTTGTATTAATAAAGGACCAAATTAAACAAATAATAATAGGTTATAGGCTATTCAAAACACTATGCCTTAGTTTTAAAAAATGTAAATACTTTATAGCTAGTAGTGTCTAACGAAACAACCAATCTTTAACTCGGGATTACAGTTTAAATTACATTAAATATGAGATTAATACATGCGTGTTAAACACATCCTATTCCGCGCATGCGTGTCGAACATCAACTACATTTTGATTAATCAAGTAGCCTACGTCATGTTCGCGCTACAGTCAGGCTGCTGCAGCGAGGACAGTCTAGAAAATTCCGTGTTTGGCAGGGAAGCGTTTTCTCAAAAACGGAAAATTCAGGTTTGGCGGCCATAGAGTTTAAAAATAATCTAAATTTTTAATTCATGGTGACTAACTTAAGCACCGCATTTTTAGAACATGCGTGCGAAGCCAAAAAGGCGCGTTTGAGTTTCGAAATGCGCTGTTCACACAGCAGCAGCTGGAATAACTGTCTGAACGAGTAACCGATGTGACTAAACTACAGTTTTATAGACGTTACCATCTTTGATATTAACGTTAAAGTCTTAAGACATTTGGAACGCATTGAGTCGCGCAGACCACGAAAGTGGCGGGAACTCCGTTGGCTATGGCAGTGTCAAAAACCTTCAGATGACACAGCTCGGTGACTGCGACTCTGCAAGTTACCGTGAAAATATGCTAGACACGCGTCTTTGTCTTATGACGCAACAGACGAATAGTCCAGTGGTTCCGTTCACACAGCAGGACTTCGTCGAAATCAAGTTGTGAGTTCGGTTCTAGAATGCGGTTGTCACTCCAGTAAATAACCGAGCTGTGTGTGAATTGTATTCTGCTGTTGTGTGAACGAACAGCC